CTTTGGAGGAGGCAAAAGATCCTATAGCCCAGCAAGATGAGAATTGTGTCCACAGAGGCATACTGCAAGCAAGAGATGATTTATGGCATGAAAAAGATAGAGATAAAATTCTGCAGGTAATCACCTATTGGATATAGGCAGGAAGTTAAGGGACTAGAGAAATCTCCTGCATATTCTTTGTGAGAATTTCTCATGGTCTCTACAATGGCCGAGCCTATTTCAGAGAAGTTATCGTACAAATGGACAGGGCAATGACAATGTAATTGCACATGCTATCAATAACACAATCACTATATCACTTCACATAGATACCCTTTCAGGAAATGAACTGAAAAGTGGTAATGCTGACTGCTTGCCAAGGAAGTGAGATAAACTGGAAAAGAATATATCTTCTTTCAGGAAGAAAAACTAATGAGGTATTAAAATGTTTTGGAAAATTTACTAGTATGAATGAGGAACAGGGAAGTATTGGGTTTCAGATGGTGACTACTGCAAAGCTTGTGTCTACAGTTACCTGAGAGATGAAATTATCACCTCTACAAAGATTTGCCGCATTGTTTTTCTCAGCCACCTTAGATTTTACTGCTTCTAATTAAACCTTATTTCTAGTTGCCTCTTATTTATCAAGGACCCATAAGCTTTCTTCTTTTGTTTTAGATGAAGTCTATTTTAGATAAAATTTATCTCTGCTCTCCTTCTTTACTTTTTTCTCATATCATTCCTCACATAATTTATTCCTCCTCCCCATGCTTACCTCCATTTAGCATTGCTTAGCAAATTGAAAGAAAAAATAGAAAGATAACATTAAAGTGTACCTTCTTTGACATGCTGCTTTTCTTTGAGACATTTCATCAACAGCTATTTCTAACATTTACTTAATTGACTTTGAAAAAGTTCAACATGTCTGCTGCCTGGAAAATAAAATCTGAAGATCTTTGTCTCTACCAGAAACAGTGTGGACAGGATTGGCCTCAGAAGACTAAGTATTACATTTATTCTTGACTAATGTTCTCCAGAGTCTCCAAACTAATGACAAAGTTTCTCCAGAACCTTCCATCTTCATCAGAGCCATGTTGAATCCACTCCATTTAGTAATAATACCTTCCTTAGTCTTCTACAGTCTGCTCAAATTTAACTTTTGAAATGGAATGAATCAGGTAGTATAGGCCTTTCAAAAATAGTCATAACTTTTTGTGGGCCTATGTTCTCTCATTTTTAGTACCAATCAAATGAGTCAAAGGTTTTATAGCCTCTCCCTTATCCCCCTACTTTGTACTAAAGTGTATTGACACAGCCTACATATTTAAATCATTCTTCTATAGATTTATTTCTCAGACTAAAAGAGATGCCATGAAAGAGGACTTCTGGTGAAACTTCAAGGACTTAATGAGACTTCAAGGACTTTGACAACAAGCTATTTGTACATCTAAAATTCTACCTGGATCCTATCCCTTGACAGTCCTTAGGGAAGAGTCTCTATGTGACTCACCTAAGAGTTCTAAGAAAGATTTCCTCTCTTGTGATCCATCTCCTTTTACTTTGTGGTGTAGCCAGATATTCAGAAATGGCCAACAGATGTTTTGATTTCCAGCTTCTGAGAGTATCACATTCCATCAGTACTCTGAGACGAGCACATAGTCTATTGCTAGCAATGTTTCATTCACTCATCCTCCTTCAAAAATGATCCAGCTGTGGAAGAAGCCCTTAAATGCTTATGAGGTTTCTTCAACATATCTAAGAGAGGATCTGAGAGCACAATTCATTAACAAAGATGGAGCAATTTAAAAAGGTGGAAGCTGTAAACAACCTCCCTCCTGGGGGATAGAAGGGAGCCCAACTCTGTTAATTGGTTCCTTGCTTAGACTCCAAGATCTCCCTTGAGGTTGTTAATTTTTTTAGACATTTTAACATCAAGCATCCCCCCTTTCACCTTGAAAGAATCATGTGGCTGATTTACAGGTCATTTCCAAACTTGTCATCCATAGAATAACTATGTCACCCTAGCATAAGAACAATCATCAGAGACCTCTGTCTGGGAAAAACACCAGGAAGTTGCAAGCAAACTCTGTTATTCTGAGTCAGAGTCTCTGCAGCAGATGGGTTCTCAATTCTTTACTTTCTTATTCTGGACCAATTTTTTAATTTTTACATTGGACTCCATGGATGGAGCATATTCGAAAAGGCCTTACAGTGATTTGGAGTAGGGAAGAAGAAACATAAACAGGTTCATTTTTCTCCCTCATAGCTCCAAAGCTTGGTTCAACTTCCCACACAGAGATGTCCAATCTTTTGGCTTCCCTGAGCCACACTGAAAGAAGAATTGTCTTGGGCCACACATAAACTACACTAACAATATCTGATGAGCTAAAAATAATTCTTAAAAAACTCATAATGTTTTAAGAAAGTTTATGAACTTGAATTGGGCCACATTCAAAGCCATCCTGGGCTGCATGCAGCCCATGGGCCATGACAAGCTTAGAAGGAATAAAAGAGTAGGAGAGGAAGAAGGGGAGGGAAGAATGATTATAACAACAAGGGCAGAGAGGAGGAGTGTTAAATCAAGTTTAGCCTAAAGCTGCCTCCTTGCATAGTTTAAGTTTGGTCTAAAGGGTTTTCTGTACATCATGAACTATAACAAGTGGAAGTGTAAATAGACTGTAGCCCCCACTTCTGCTAATCACAGAGTCTTAGCCAATCAAATATAGCCAGCTTTTCTAACCATGTTCAAATAAAGCAAATGCTGAACTGTAACTAATCTAGCTGTTTCTGTACCTCACTTCTGTTTTCTGTATGTCACTTTCCTTTTTCTGTCCATAAATATTTTTCCGCCATGAGGCTGTGCTGAAGTCTCTGAGCCTACTCTGGCTCAAGAGGCTGCCCAATTTGTGCTCAATTAAACTCCTTCAAATTTAATGTGGCTAAAGTTTTCTTTTATTAGATGGTTTCAGAAGTGGGATCTGAAGTAGAGCTTCTAACTATCCCCAGAAGCACTGAGTGACTAAGCGAGTCACCTCCCAGACCCAAATCTCTCAGAGCAGCTGGATATTGTGATAAGTTCTCTCTGGAATTCCAAAGCTCCACAGATTTGTGTTTTAAGCTCTCTAAGTTTCTTTGAGAAAATTTCTGATTCAAACTGGGTTTGGAAGTTGTGACAGAAACTAGACTTAGTCCAGGATAGGATTGGCTCTGGAAATTATCTGGCTTGGATCCAGTCAGAGTCCTCTTACAACTGACTGGGTCAGAAAGAAACTGGTAGCAAATGGCAGCATTACAAGGGGTGTAAAATTTGGCTTTTGGAAATTTGAAGTCAATTAAAAAACTTAGGCAAGTAACTAAAAACAAAAAAATTAAATCTGCCTTACACTCTATGCTGATACCTATAGGTGACAGGATTAGGCATGTGCAGGATCATGGGGCATGGGGAAACTTTTTCTTTCTAAAGAAGGAAAATTAAAAGCTGATGGGAGTGCTGGAAAAGATCACTTCATAACCTACAAGTGGCCGCCTGAACTGTTGATTCAGTATTGCAACAATGGGTGGGTCTTTCTCTGGCTTCTCTGAGCTCTTCATCTTCCCCACCCTGCTGTGGGCAATGCTTTTCTCCCTCTCTCTCTCAGTCTCACTCTGTGAAAACTGATTGTAGGAATGGTAAAAATCACTACCTGTTACAAATTTTAATTAACAAGAAAAAATTTTTTGTGAGGCTAGTCTTTAGCTGTAGCAAATCTGGTGTACTTTGTGCTATGACTTTGTTTCTATGTGAATTTGTCTTTCTGCATTGTTCTGTCATAAAGAGGGATACCATAGGATGGAAAGTGGGTCTAGGACTCCATAAGCTCACTGTTCAAGACAGCCCAGCAAACTGGTCAGTAACAAACTTTACTGCGGCATCTCCCTGAAACAAACAAAAAGTGAATGAGGTCTCCATCTTGTTTTAAGTCCTTGAGATCTTGAGCTTATAACCACATGGTGGAACTTTCTCTTTATTTCTACCATCTAGGAAATAGAAATTTGGGGGTTTACGTCATAGTTGGCTCTAAAAATTACATTGAGCAGTTAAAAGACTTGGCAAGCTCAAAATTGGCTGCTCTAGACTCCTTCTAGAAGAGCAATGGAAAGTACCCAGGGCTTTAGCTTAGCAGCTTCTCTAGACTCCTTCTAGAAGAGCAATGAAAAGTACTCAAGGCTGTAGATTAGCAGCTAAGGCTTTGCCATTTTACAGTGGCAGCCCAAGTTCAATCCTGGCTTAGGGAAAGAGTTCTTTCTGGTTTGACATCTGTGTGACATTTACCATTTGTTGATTCTCTTCATCTCCATGAAAAACTCCTGGTATCCCTTCTTAAATTTTACTTTTTCTGAGCGCCTTTGGAGAGCCTAGGTCTTGTAGAAACTGCTAACTACTTCTTTGAAAATACCTCATACATTCATGTTTAAGTCATAACCTTTGTTGAGGCTTGTTGGTTTCACCTGTGAGGTTACTTTTGGTAAAGTTTAGGAGCCAGAAATATTAGCCATTTGGCCTGGCTAAAGTAAGGTAACAAGAAATGTGTAAAAGGACTTTTATTTTTAAGAGTGCTATGGTTATCAGCCATTAAAAACGATGAGTTTGTGTCCTTTGTAGGGACATGGATGAACCTGGAAACCATCATTCTCAGCAAACTGACAGAAGAGCAGAAGATCAAACACCGCATGTTCTCACTCATAGGCGGGTGTTGAACAATGAGAACACATGGACACAGGGAGGGAAGCACTACACACTGGGGTCAGTTGGGAGGAAATAGGGGAGGGAGGGTGGGGGGTGGGGAGCTGGGGAGAGATAGCAAGGGGAGAGATGCCAGATGTAGGTGATGGGGAGGAAGGCAGCAAATCACACTGCCACATGTGTACCTATGCAACAATCTTGCCTGTTCTTCACATGTACCCCAAAACCTAACATGCAATAAAATAAATAAATGGGGGAAAAAAACCCCAAGTTTGAAAAAGCTGATCCATATCCCTACTCTTTGCCCATCTTCCAAATTCTCCTTTGTCTGACTCATCTTGGGGCCTGTGAACAGGGGCGCCTTTTTGTAGGAGCGCTCACCACTGGCACACATCATTCCTACATGCTTTGGGGTGTGCAGGTGACTTCTTTTCCTCCTTCTCAGATCTGGCCCATGTTTGCCTTCATTATGGACCACGTGATGGACTTTCTGATTTAAAAGGCAATGATTAATAACAAAAAGGAAAAAAGAAAATGTGGCACATGTACACCATGGAATACTATGCATCCATAAAAACAATGAGTTTGTGTCCTTTGTAGTGACAGGGATCAACCTGGAAACCATCATTCTCAGCAAACTGACACAAGAACAGAAAATCAAACACCACATGTTCTCACTCATAGGCGGGTGTTGAACAATGAGAACACTTGGACACAAAGAGGGGAGCATCACACACTGGGTCCATTGAGTGGGGGGCTACAGGAGGGATAGTGGGAGGGAGGGTGGGGGAGGGCTAACATGGGGAGAAATGTCAGGTATAGGTGATGAGGGGATGGGGTCAACTAACCACCTTGCCATGAATATACTTATGCAACAATCTTCCATGATCTGCACATGCACTCCATAATCTAAAGTAATGTATATATATATAGAGAGAGAAAGCATCAATCTTTCCCAATAAACCAAAGGGGAAATTTCAGTGCAGGGGAAAGAAATAAACATGTATTGAACCCCCCAAAAATAGATTGCCCTTCCCATCCACACTGCAGCAAACTTTGAAACCTTGAGTCTTGGGTTAATATCATAGCTGAAAAGGGTCCCTCCACACTCTTGAAACTTCACACACATTGGAACCCTTAAGGTAAAGCTAACCAGGGAAGCTTCGCCTCAGAAGAAGATGGTATCCTTGACGTGGACAGCTTTTCCTAAGATAATGGATCAAGACTTCTGTACTATAATGAGACTTATTTTTAAATATTTTTCCTTGCTTATGCCTCAATGAACAATAGAAGTGAAAATGGGGTCTGTTGTGTGCATTCATGGGGAACACTTTTATTTGTGAAGGATTTTGCAACCAGCCTTATACATGGATAATCTTATATCTTGACAGATAAAAGATAAAGGCCCCAATATAGGTGAGAAATGTTAATGGTACATACTTTGCCTCATAATCAGTCAGAAATGGAACATTGGTTCACTCCTCTTAACCTACATCATGGATTAAAGAGGACTTTGCCAGGAGGCCTTCACTCTTCTAGAAGGGCATCATTTGTTAAGTCCTTTTTCCCATGATTTGGAGTAAAAAAGGCAATGATTTAAAAAGTATCCCTCATGATAGGCTCTATAGAAGATTCTACTGTAAAGGGTGTCATTATACAACATACTTTACATTAAAGTTGTGCTACATAATAGGATTGCTCTAGATTCCTTACTAGATAAACAGAAGTATCTGTGCAGCTTCCGGCACTTGTGACCTATGGAGAAATACATCAAATGTAGATTATAGTGATTTAGTTGTAGGGGATTAATGAAGAGACCACTTACTTGAGTAAACTCTATCTAGCTCATTCTTTGATCTATTTGATTTCAGGTAGTTTGTTTTATGGGGACCCTGGGTAAGGAGCATACTCCAAACTCTTGGTATTATCCTCCTGATAGTCCTAATAGCAGTCTCTCGGTGTGCTATATTCTCTCAAAAGTTTTAAATGTTTGCATGCAGCCATCTCTGGAATGTCTCTTTAACTGGAATGATAAGAACTGACAGAAATGTGTGACCATGAGGACACTGTAACCTATGAATGACACACTGAGACCAGAAACCCAAAATGACAGTAACTGAGAGTGGAGCTAAGACCCTAAGTTTTGTCACACTCTCACCTAAATGAAAACCTGACCAAAAAGGGAGAATTTTTAAACAAAATTATGGGAGGCCATTGTTTTGGACTGAGCTCATGCAGTAGGTGCCTAGAAACCAGACCAAACCAAAATGGAGTCACTTATGCTAAATGTGACATAAACTAAGACTTTAAGGAAACACAGATTCTCGAACAGACAAGGTTTTGTTTTTTTCATATAAACAGGACATTCCAGCATAAGGAGGAACCCTCTACTGAATCCTTGTTCCTCCTTCGTAAAACCCACTCTTCTACTGTTTTCCAGTGGGTTTCAATACCAAATAAATACATTTACAATGGTGACAGTGACATCAATGACTCAAGTTTCAAGCTCTCAAAACTGAGAAGATAACAAAAAGAGGGGAATTGTTAAATCAAGTTTAGCCTAAAGCTGCCTCTTGACTTATTTTAAGTTCAGCCTAAAGGTTTTTCCATGCATTGTGAACTATAAAGAGTAGAGGGGTAAATAGACCATTGCCTACACTTGTGCCAGTCACTGAGTTTTGGCCAATCAAGTATAAATAACTGTTTGAACCGTGTTCAAGTAAGGTAAATGCCAAGCTGTAACCAATCTAGTTGTTTCTGTACCTCAGTTTTGTTTTCTGTACGTCACTTTCCTTTCTCTGCTCATAAATCTTCTTCCACCACCTGACTGTGCTGGAGCCCACTCTGGCTCAAGAAGCAACTCAATTCATGAATCTTTCATTGCTCAATTAAACTGCTTTAGATTTAATTCAGCTGAAGTTTTTATTTTATCAGGAGGCAAAGAGGAAGAACTGAGTAAATTGTGCAGGAAAGATTGAAAAGATAAATCATATTCAGCCACACCAGCCTGCCAAGCATGAGCCCTTTCACCTCCTTCCATCCGGCCTTCCTAGCTCTTTATCTTCTCTCTCCAGATTGAATAGGAAGAGAAGCAATTCTTGTTTTTCAGCACAAGATACTAACAGGGATTAAGCCTATTTTGTTTGCTCCTGAAGGTTTGGTTTTCCTTTCAGAAATACACTGGACATTATATGGGAAGAACACTTAAGAGACTGGGCTGTGGAGAAGACCAAAGAGTCTGTTGCAATATGTTAGCAAATAAGTTCTCCTCATACTTCTAACATGAATTTAATGTTTTATCTGCATCCAACCTTCTTGTTAGAAATTTTCCTTAGCTGTATATAATGAGATAATATTTTTGAAATGTTGTCTAGCTTTTTACCTAATATTCTCTTCCCATATTTCTAACCATTTCTTTCTTCCAGGCAGGTAGGTTGTTAGATTCTCAAACCTCAGAGAAAAAATGTGACAGCAAAAGGAAGTTGAAGCAGAAGTGATAAGACCACAATCATAAGTGAGTCTTCAGAATGGCTTACAGACAAAGCCCGAGATACATCACAATTTTCACCCAGGTTAGGAGACACCAAAAGCAGAGAACTTCTAACCATCTTTTGTTCAAGATCTTGGTTGGCAGGCAGAAACTTAAGGAAATAGGGTCATGGGGGCTTCCAGATAGACATTTGAGTGCTGCAGCTTCCTATGCAATATTGAGGATGGGAGCAACAGAACAATCTTCATCTAACCAAGGGTGGCTTATCAGAATCATCAGACCTAATAGATCTTGAAGATAGAAATAAACAGAAATCAGCAGCAACTCATTTGTGATTTGACAACTGGGGATCTGATGAAACAATAGATATTTTCAGAGTTGCTAGTATGGTGAAATCAAGGATCAGATGTCCCCAGTGCTCTGACATCAGTCAAGTTCTGTAGAACTTAGACAAAAATCTGGGGGTAGGGGAAGAAAAGGAACTTGAATTGATTTTTTTTTCCCTCAGTGGAGAAAAAAAGAGAGTATAAAGTAAAAATAGAGTTATGGAATGATGATGAAAATTGTGTTTCTTGAACACCAGAATTTGTAGATTGTCAAAATCCCTTGAGTGCATTATATAAGTATTATCATCTTCTATCTTAATAGACCAGTTGACTATACCTTAATTTATTTAATCATTTTTTTCTATTTTTGTTTCAAGCCACAACATTTTATAGTAATTCCTTGTATGGTAATAGACAATTAACATCCTTCTGAGAATTAAGACAACTTATTCAAAATGAGTCATATTTTCGTGATTCTTGGTATGTATTGCAAGATTAAATTTAGACTGAGGAATCTTTTATTTTAATGGCAGAAAAAATAATTTAAACCGGATGAAGCATTAAAGTGAATCTTTTAGCTCATCAAACCAAGGTATTCAGAGAAAATTTGATCCACTGGCCCAAACAATATTATCAAATAGCCAGTTTCTTTTACTCAGTTTAGTGTGCCTTATGCAGTAATTGTGCCATCCTGTGGCAAATTTTCCTAGTAGTAGCATAATTCTTGTACAAGTTCCAGATATCACAGTCCCTCCTCACATCATCCTAAGGAAGAGAGTGTCCCTTCTGGTAGATACCACAGATGAAAAGTTTCTTCCCAGATGCCTAGCAAGCATCTCCTTGTATTTTTCTGGCTTTGATTGGGCTATATTACCCACTCCTACTCCAAGCTAGTTATTACAGCAGTTGGATGATATTTGCTGATTGCTGATTGACTTAAACCAATCAGGATTTATCTCTGAACCCAGAGTTGGAACCAAAGTTATTCAAACAATGACAGCTGAGAACAGAAAAGAACATCTTTCCCCACTGTAAGAAAAAATAAAAAAATTTAAGATACTCCTCTGAGAAAGAATGATTATGAATGCTAAGCAGTATATGAATAAATAAATAATCACTGATTTTTGTAACTCTCAATATAATAAATGTAAATTATACATAGTTTTAAAAGTCAAGTTAATTTTAATACTTAAAATGGAAAACAGTTCTGGTTCTATCCTCATTCTTGTTCCTGATATAGCACCCTGTTCTTGTTTTAAGGACACAATACCTTCTTCAATCTGACTGTATTAATTTTTGAATTTTATTTCCTATTTTAAAGTTCCTAGATTGTCTTTTTGTCATTGGATTCCTTTTTTTCTGTTTGTTTTAGGGCTCTGTCTGGTGGTCCTTGAGTATGCTTTCAAATTGCAGAATGAGCATTGAAAAACAAGTTCTGAAGCTTGGTGTTCATGGTCAGAGATAGTCTTCTGGCAAACTTTCTGCTAGGTGATCTGGCAGGAACTTCACAATTTCTGAGATGGACTCATCCTGTAAGCATCAGTAGTTATGTTCCCTTGAGCCGGAAATTCAGGAGTG